TTTGCGCAGCGCAGAGTAACGCGTCGTGTGTGTGTGTGTGAGGGGAACAGGGTCACAGGAGAGTGAACTGCCTGTCAGAAATCATAGCACGTCAGCTGTCTTAACCGCGGCTTGTGTACTGTATCATCACTGTGTCTGTCATGCGACCTTTAAACCAAGGCAAGTTTAGTTCAGAATGTAAAAATGTCAAGTGGGGCAAAAGTGTAAAAGTGTAATGATATCTATGAATTAATAATAATTAAAAAAAAAAACTTTTTACCTTGAAAAAATACACTTGAAAAATTGAACTTGAAATTATAAAAACTCACATGCATTAAATGTGTAAGGAAAATATGGTATTACTTTACACTTCATGGTGGTGAAAAACATTTAAAGTTTCAAGAAAGGTTTCAATTTTTCAAAAACATACCAAGTCAGCATGAACGCAATGAGTACAATTTATAAGAATTTGGAATAACATTTATGAAGTTTGAATATGGCACAAATTTGGTGCAAAAATCAGCAACGACATGGATATTTGCATATTTTGATGCTTTGCGTCATGATTAGTAAAACAGAAATATGAATTAGTGAATTGTAATAAAACCTTTTCACTTTTCCTCACCTGTAGATCGGTGATATCAAGCAGACTGCCGTCTTTTCTCACAGACAGGAGAGTAGCTCGGCCTTGTGATGGGTATCCCTCCTCAACCCTCAGCTGACATACAGTGGTCGCAGTCTTGAGAAAGATCAGAAGCTTTTCAGCAGGACACCAATCTATCGCAAACCTGACGAAACAAGCGAAAAAATGTAAACGAGATACAGGAAGTACATTTCTTCATAGTGTAAAGCCAGTTTCCCATTTCTTGCTTTATAGAACGTAATGTTGAGATCCAGTGTTGTTGACTTAAATTAAAACATTTCTCAAGATTCAAGATTTTTTTATTTGTCACATACATGGTTATATAGAGAATATATGACCAGCAGTGAAATGTAAGTCAGGTCCGCTCCATGGACAGTGCAATTATTAAAGAATACAAACACAAGAAAATTATATATAAATATAGGTATGGAAAAAGTAAGATAAAAAAATAAGAAAAAAATAAAATGTGCAGGACAGTATACTGTAGACGCAACTGATTCTCAGCAACTGAGATCCAATAAAACCATAAAAGACAGCGGTGAACGGGTTACTTTAATGATATACATTATTGCAAGCTTGCATGGTGTAGTATTAAAAAGAATCAATGTAAGCTAATGTAGTAATGTAGCTTTTTAGCAATAAAAACTAAGCAATAAAAAAGACTATGTGGCTGACAACATTTCACAGATGAACCTTTTTCTTTATCAGTAACTTGTGATGAATCTGAACTTTACTGCCATAAAATATAGAAATGATAATAAGATTTATGAGAAACGTATGTATACATTTTAAGAAAATGTACCTGGAGTGCAGAGCCTGAATCTCAGACAGCATCTCTCCTTGACTTATGTACCGCTCCATCACCTCCACAAGGGCGGCGCTCACTTGCCTAAGACGCCCATTCACCGCCTCCTCTCCAAGACCAGCTGTTCCCTGAAACACCTGAAACAAAGGAAAAAGAGATATATTTACAATAATGTAAAAATAGAAAATGAAAACCAGAAAAGTTTAAAAATATATATAGTTCTAGAGGAATATTAGTTTTTAAAATATTAGCAGTATCAGTTTAATTCAAAAGCTTGTCAAAAATAGTTTTAGAGGTTCCACATGTTTTAAGTTTTGGTAGTGTAAATAGTGCTGTAGATAATGTTTTTTGCATTCTTGTCCTATTTAATACAGCATAACAAATTATAGTATCATCATAATGTGAGTGAAGTGTGTGTGTACAAAATATAGGCATGTTCAAAATATATGTTTTATAATTTAGAAGCACGTTTTTTCTTTGGCAATTCATCACTCACTTCATGTATCACAGATCTCAGCATCACTATAGGGAAAGATATGCTGAGACACAGTACCTGGAGATGGAATTCATCGCTGGTTGTCATGGTGATTGAGACACGCAGGGGTTCAAGTGATTTTTCGGCAGCACGAGGCAAGAGCTCAAGGCACAGCTCAGAGGAACTGACTGACAGCAGCCTGAACTGCATGTTTCTGTGAGTCACTGTGACCCAGGTCTGCAGCCTGAGAGACAAAGAAAATAAGAGGAAGAGAAGGGGAGCTTATTGTATTATAAAAAATGTTTGAATATTTGAAGAATCTTCACTGTAATCAGCAACCTAACCCAGTCACTATGAAATCTAAAAATCTAAAGTATGCAGCTGTAAATTAGGGATTTATGCATCTCTCTCTTAAATTTAATATGGTAAATTTAACATCCTGACAAAGGTCTATTACTCCAGTCTTCAGTGTCACATGATTCTTCAGAAATTATTCTAATATGCTGATTTGCCACTGAAGAAACATTTCTAATTATTTTTATTATAAATGTTCAAAACAGTTGTGCTGCTTAACATTTCTGTGGAAACTGGGATATTATTAAATTTTTTTTGGAGTCTTTGATGAACCCTGAAGTTCAAACAACAGCAAAAACAGTAGCAAAAAAAAAAAAAAAAAGACTCATATATACAGACTCACCCATCTCTTAATATCGTCCAGTCACTAATTCGAGCATGCTGTTTTTCAACCTCATCCTTGAACTTAGAAAGCCGCAAATCACACACATTCACAGTGCTTTGGGCTGCCTGGAGGGAATCTTCCAACTGAAAGCTGATTTGTTTCTGTGTGAGAGAAAGGAGTAAGAATTCAACCAAGCTGATTCTACCAGTTTGTCCCACAGTAGGGTGGCCATATGTGCCATTTCTACGGGACACGTCCTGGCCAGGATTTTTATATTGCCTAAAACATCCAAAGTAGTTTGACCAATAACATGCAGGTATTGTTCATAATCGACCAATCGTGGCGTGTCACACGTGAGAAGGTGAGAACGATCAAAGCGATGCAGATACGCGCACGTGTTTGTTCGTTCGTTCGACTTGAAGCTGCTTACCGTTCATTGTATGACACCAAAGTACCGCGAGAGCGATTTGAAAGCATAAGGAGCCGTCTGCTCTGCTCTCTATAGCTCGTGAAATAATGCCATACAACAATCGATCTGCACAGTGCAAACAGCCAAAACCTGGATATTTTAGGCAATATAGAAATCCTGGCAAGGGTGCGTCCCGTAAAAATGGCCCGTATGGTCACCCTATCCCACAGCCTTTTTTGGTGAAGAAAAGTGGAAATTATTTGAAGTTTAAAGCGAGTGGATGGCTTACCTCAGCCCTCTGATTTCGTTTAGCTGTGATTCTCTCCTTCTCTTTGCACTCCTCTTTCTGAACAAGAATGAGATTTCATGTACAATACAACAGTAAGAATATGCAAGAGTGAAGCTCCATGTTTAGCTATCATTGTTTCAGTTCATGAGTTTAAAGCCACACAGAAACAACCTGCAAAAAACTGCTTTTTATCAGATTAATCAAATGCATAAATCTTATGTGCTGGATGAATCAGATAAAAAGCCATTCCTGAATTGAATGATAAAAGAAAGGCAGACAGAAAAAAGAAAAGTCTGACTACCTTTAGCTGGAGAGTGGACAGTAGAGTCTCCAGTGTCTTCCGTTTACCCTGAAGCTCTTCCATGCGAACCCGGAGAGTGTTGATCAGTCCCTCCACCTCCTGAACTCTATCTTGATATTCAGCTTTTAATGCCTTCCATGCAGAACGAGCTTCACTACCTGTGTGCCAACACACCCGAAACAAAGCACCATTTCGCAAATGTAGCAATGAACAGTCATATACAATAATTCATGATGTGTGTGTTACCTGGGTTTTGGGGACATGGCTCATTCACCAGCTGATCCGCTGACTCTAGACCTGCCAGCAGCTGGATCATGTCATCCACCACGCACAGCTGTCTGAATATATGCTTCTGTTTTCGCCTGCAGTCCTACGCAAACCATCACAGAACATAAAACATCAATATTTCATTAATGTATATATATGTTTAATGTAAATAACTTTATACCACAGTACTACAGTTATTGTTACTACAATAAAACCATGGCAGTTGGGTATTAGCCAATCCAATTAAAAAATAAATAAAATAATTTGAAGGAAATCCCAATTTATTGTTAAATAATGTTGATTTTTTTTAAAAGTTAGTTATGGCATAAACTACAGTTACACATAGCAGAACACAAACTTACCATCAGATAAGGAGCCATAATTTCTCCCTCTCCTGTTTCCTGCACTTCGGTGGTGTTGCATGATTTCAGGAAGGAAGGGTCAGTCCTTTCCAGAACCCTGAAATCAGAGAATATTATTTAGTGTTTATTAAATCTTATTTGTTCATATTTTATGCCCTTAAAAACAAGGACCATAGAAAAAACAAACATCAGCTTGAGAATATTTGAGGCTTTCAATATCTTGGGTCATTTTGTTTAATCCTCTGATTAAAGATTAAGGCCCGGTTTCACAGACAGGGCTTAAACTAAGCCAGGATTAAGTCTTAGTTCAATTAGGGAATTTAAGTAGCTTTTATAAATGTGATTTAGAAAAAAACATTACTGGTGTGCATCTTGAAACGAAACAATAACACTGACAAATTTTATGATATGTCAGTGCAACTGGCTTTCGGTTAAAACAGCTCAAACATGCATTTTAGTCCAGGACTAGCTTAAAGGGTTAGTTCACCCCAAAAAAAAAAAGAAAATTCTGTCATTAATTACTCACCCTCGTGTTGTTCCAAACCCGTAAGACCTTCGTTCATCTTCGGAACACAATTTAAGATATTTTTGATGAAATCTGAGGGCCTTGTCTTGGAATCCGGGGGTAAATGTCTTAAATTATTTAATTAAAATGTTCTCGTGAAAGTTCATCGGTGCAGTATTTCAAATAGTGTGGCAGCATGTTGAATGTACGCGGTCACAAATATAAAGATGACAGTCATACAGAGTTATGAGAACGGGTGTTTGGGTCTAACACTAAACACTAAATGGTTACAAATGATTAAAGATGCTTTAGAGGGTTAATGTAATCACTGTGGTGGCTCACACTGAGTGGCCGCCTTTTTATTGTAATAACAATAACTGTATTTATGGTATTTTAGCGAAAACTACAGTTACAGCGGTGACTTAAGGTAACGTTAGACACACTTTTAGTTTGAGCGTTTAGCTGTCACCATCCAAATAACGACTTGCCAGAGAACTAATTTAATTCCAATAGCGACAGGGCATTTTAAACGTATAAAGCGCTATAAAATAATTCAAATATTTTATTAATTCCATATATGTCTTTATGGTTTGATAGACAATACTCACGCCTCAGTTCTCTCCGTCGCCATTTGTGTTTTGAAACTTACCGCCGAACGCTGATTGGTCAGAACTGTGACGCCTACGTCACATATGTCCACCAATCCTTGATCTATAAATGAAACCTTTAGATGTTCATAAATAGGACATATATTTACAGCCAAATAACAACACATAGGTCTATTTAAAATATATTCACAACATTGCATAAATACTTTTTTATTTGTACATTATTTGTACATAGTAGGCTACTTAACCTAATTCATATTTTCTATTATCAATAGGCTAACAGTGTATGTTCTAGGTTGTGTTACTTGTATATTTGTCTATTTAAACATAGACTTATACAGGAAATACACATTTTATGCGTACATTAATGTTTATGCGTACATCAAAAGCGTTCTCATTTATTATAAAGAATATTTAGTATAAAGAATAAAGTTAAGCAGTTGTATGTCAGTCGTTTAATACGACTAATCAATAAATAGAATTAATAAAATGCATAGATGCAAAAATAATTAAAAGATGAAGCAAGTCAACTACTAGTTTGCGACAAGCAAATAAACACATTACATAAATACAATACAAAATGGAGTAATACTTTTTTTTTTTTATCATTCCTGGTGATTTCTGTAATAACTCTTTAAATATTTTTAATTAATCCTCTTCCACGATTAAACCGGAGGGGAGCAAAATTTCGTTTCTTCCTGGAAAAACACTCAGGTCTCACGTAGCCTAAGTGCACACCTTTCAGAAGACTTTTTTTTTCCCTTGAAGAAAATCATATTAATTTTCTAACTTCAACACTTTCTCGTTTTTTCAAATTATATGGGGAGACCAGGCCTAGTTGTCAGACTCATCATAATGGGAACCTGCCATAGCTATAATAGGCTTTTCAGCTACATTTATACAGTAAACAATTGTGACACACAAAACAATTTTTACTTCAACTTAAATATTCCAAATGCAATGAAAATGTATCCTGTTATCAATTAATTACATTTACATGAATTAATGTATTCATTTATAATATCATTTAAAATTATATTACTTTGTGACCTATAAAAATCTCATTATCTTGAGAACATTGGTCTACCTTTTTCTTTTAAATCTGCCTTCACTGTAGTACTACGGTGTTCAAATCTTTAAGAGGTGTTTGAAACCAAAATACAAAACTATTTTTACAAAATATAGTTGTGTAACTGCACTTTTGACTCAAAACCTTATATTTACTGAGATACAAATTAGTGACAACAAATCTTGGTCAAATTAGTTTACATGAATCTCGTAATCATATCAAAAACCATGCCAATATTTGCATTAAAATTACATTGAATATCTAATGATTAAATTCACTGAAGAACACAAGCAGTCAAGATTAAAAATGGTGCACTGTAATATAAAGCATTTTAAATTAGGATGAAAATCTAAGCTAAATGTGCCCAAGCAGAGACAAAAATACACAAATACAGTCCAGACACAAGACGACACCAGTTTACTCATCTTTTATTGTCACATTCATATCTATGCTCTGTATTCTTTACAAGGAGTTCAAAACAATTGTGGATGAGAATCAAAGAAAATCAGGCAGGCAGAGGCTGAAAGTCCTGATAATGTCTGCGGCACCTGCTGGAAGAAGGGTGAAGGGGTAAAGGTGGTCTCCTTCCTCTCTCATCCTCCTAAAATGTGCCCCATTTAATTCGACAGACCTTCACTCTCACGTTGCATCATTACAGGTGAAATGAAACCATAAAAATGAAAACGATTTCAGCATCGTGCTGCTCTGTGCGGCCTGAAAAGATACTATTATGTTGCGGTTCACAGAGAAAGAGAGCAGATCCTATTGCAAACATAAGAGATACAATCCTATGTCATATTTAAAAAGCCATCAGAAATATAAATCAAATAGAAAGATGAAGAATTTGTAAGTTCAAAATAAAGTCAGTTTAATAATAATGAAAAAAAAAAAGAGATTGGATAGTGAAACTGACATGTTTATTTCCCCTCCCACATTTCCATTTATTCCATTTCCAAATTCATCCTGAACAATTTCAAAAACAACTGAAGAAAAATCATCTTTGGAAGTAAAAGACTCCTATGCACTACAGTATATGGAGATGCTGCTACCCAGTTGCTTAGGTCATTTATTATTATTATTATTATTATTGATTCATTAAGCTTAACATTTTCAAAATTAACTTTTTCTGTCCTTTTTAGTTTTATGATCTGTTCTATATCCGTTTGTCTTTATTCTAAGAGGTAGATCAACAAAAAAAGAAAAAGAAAAAAAATTTAAAACATGGTTACAGGAGTCGATCCTTTTGATTCAGGCCGTGAAGTCATAAAATGGGACTACAGGTGGAGGACAGAATATTAGTAGAAGCTCCGGGCAGGATGTGCCATTTTGTTGCCGATTTGAATCTAGTTTCACCAACAAAAAAAAATGGGGAGTGTTGTACTTCGGGTCAAGGCTGCATGGCATGGAGGTAGTGTGGTGCCATCGGACACAGAGGAAATAGCGCAACAGGCACAGTTGTGCGTTTCGTCTACAGAGGTATCGTTAGGCACTCTACGAATGCTGGCCTAGTTACGCTTGTGCCATTAGTTTCATAATAGTCAGGTCTTATGGTGCGTCCAAGTCCTCCTGGGAAGTTTTTGCACTCTAAAAAATGCTGGGTTGTTTCAACCCAACTTTGGGTCAAATATGGACTAACCCAACCGTTGGGTTAAATTGTTACATTAAATTTTTAACCCAAAAGTTGGGCTAGTCCATATTTGACCCAAAGTTGGGTTGAAACAACCCAGCATTTTTTTTAGAGCGTGGGAAGTTGTAATTACGATGCCAGGTGTGTTCAAGTCACTGATGGGTGCAAGATTTTTTAACTTCTATAAATGATGTATAAAGAATGCACATCAGATGTGGTTTTTCTTTATGTTTTTATTCAATTTAAGAAGGTGCTGTAATCGTAATTGTACAATGCTACTATATTTTGTACATGCGATCCATTGCGCCCGCAATATTTTGTCACCGACACGCCCCCAACTTGAAAATTCAGGGCTTAAATGACAATTTGCTGGAAAAAGTACACACCCTCAGGCCATCCATCCATTCATCGGAACAGATTTGGAAAAATTCAGCATTACATCATTGCTCACCAACGGATCCTCTGCAGTGAATGGGTGCCGTCAGAATGAGAAATCACTATAACAAGTAATCCACAAAGTAAAGCAATATTATGGATAGAAGACTTGCATTTCACAACAGTTTGAAGTTAAAAACGTCTTGATGGATTTAATCTTACAAACACACAGCTTCTCACTTCACAAGACTGTAACTGATGGACTGGAGTCATGTGGATTACTATGATGTTTCTATCAGCTGTTTGGACTCTCATTCTGACGGCACCCATTCACTGCAGGGGATCCATTGGTGAGCAAGTGATGCTAAACGTCTCCAAATCTGTTCTGATGAAGAAACAACCTCATCTACATCTTGGATGGCCTAAAGGGTGTCTAAATCTTCAGCAAATCTTTGGGTGAACTATTATAAGAGTTTCCCACAACTTTGCGGTGGCGTTCATGTGCATTCAACTCATAAATCTTTCCGACTTGACTTGAATGCACCATAAGTCACAACGTCGGGAGAATTTTAGCTTAATTGTGCACTAACAGAATTTCACAGGCTCTTCGACGTTCCTCCTCCCGTGCAAACAATCACCCCACACATCCGTTTCCTGTCCTGCCACCTTGCCCCGCAAAGAGTCCCAGCTCTAAGCTGGAGTAGTATTCTATCCAGAAATGAAGAGCTAAAAATGTATTAAAACTCAAAAGTGAAATGTAACATGCACTTTCGCTCTCATCTGCTTGATAAAAACAATCTTATGGCTAAGTCTTGAGGTAGCGTTCCTAGTTATGTGAGGTTTGATTCGTCATTTGTAGCACCCAAATGTCTTCCTTAAGGAGAGGCCAGAAACTAGCACGGTGAGATACAACAGTGGCATGCAACGTCAATATGATGATCACATCCAACTAAGCTGCGCTTCAACCTGTGGTCTATGTGTAAATCTATGCACTGCAATGCAACTTTTCCCAGTGGACACTTAACAGTCTGTGTGACAAACGACAGCCATTCGTTTGACTCGTCACAGAATTGCATAAGTTAACAACATACTATCTCTTTTCGAAGCTCAAGTATGCTAAACGGTTCTACGGTTTGTTCAAGCCCTCGCCACCGACAACATGTGGAGGACCTTGAAACAAAAAGGAGAGAAGAAAACACTTCCAAGTGCCAAACAGGAGGCCGACTCGCAATACTCAGGGAACCGTGTATCTATATGAGCACTGCATCCGTTCCTGACTGCGAACAGTCTTAATTAGTTCCGTTTTCCTGGAGTACAACAACAAAACACAAAGTGAACCCCAGTTTGGCACAGGTATTACGTGAAGAATGAATCTTTCGTTAGTATTTCAAATGAACTAGTAGCAGTGTAAGAGGTGTCTGTGCATAAAGAACTCTGATCGAGGAGAAACCTAGCTAAAATCCAAACTATAAATTTGTGGGGGGGAAAAAAACGAATGAGGAAAAATAAATCTTAAAGAAATTCAACATCAAACGACTGAACTGAACAGAGAAAACGGTCACAAACGAGGCCAGCGTGAGAGAGGGCGCTCAACTCCAGAAATGAAACCACACGTCGCTCGCCAAGTCTCTTTTGAATCGGATAATAACGCAAAACTAAAATGAGCGGATGAAGGCAGCGAGTGGTGTGAAGGGATGAAAGGTAAGAACATGTGGGGAAAAAGAGGAAGGGGACAAATGTGGCTTTTAAAATCTTTTACAAAATGTCCACCTGTTCAATGAAACGGTCCAGGGCATCTCCCTCTCATCGCTTCCACCTTTCACCCAAAGAATAATAATAAAAGAGACAAAACAACAAAAAAATGCAATTACAATAATATATCTACTATTTCTGTTTTTTTTTGTCACAACTATGTTAGTTCTTGGAGATCTGCTGTTATGTTAATATTTCTCGCTCACATATTTTTTTGTCTTTTATTGATGAAACAGTTCGCAACCAGATGTCATGTCCAAATAAAGCTTGCTGTCAAAAATAAAAATAAAAACGTTAAAAAAAAAAAAAAAAGGCTGCTGCAGTCTGACCAGAGCAGAAGTGTGTGAGTGTGTCTCGGTGTCTGACAGAAATCTATTGGCTGGAACAGGACAGACACTTCTTTCTGGCCTGAAGAGCAGTATGTATTGTGTCTCCATGGAGATGAGTCATTGACAAGTTCAGTCCTCAAGCAGAAAACAGAAGACTGCCATCTAGTGTGAAAAAGGGAAGCTTAAAAACAAACAAACAAACAAACACAAAAACAAAATAAAAGACCTTGACCGGTTAAAGCACATGAACATGCTAGCAAACCCTTTGTCTGAATGGATCCTGAAAAGGATGTGGTCTGGCAGTGTCCATCCATCTTTAACGGTTAAAAGTCTTTCCATCCTTTATCCAATTAGTATTTTATTCTAAAAAAATACAAACAGTTTTTTTTTTTTTCCCGATTGTTTCGTTAAACAAATTATTTACAGGTTTCAATTTGAGAGATGTGAATGTTTTTATTTGAATTTACTTGGCTTCCGTTTTTCAAAGGTACCTTTTATGTTCTCAGTCAGTTTAAAAAAATGAGTATGACCGAGGCCATAGAGTGTTTTTCTATGTTCCTGCCTTTTTAAAACACCCAAACCACTTCCCCAACAAAAAGATTTAACACTTCAACTCAATTAGAAAACACATTCGCGCACACTTGCACAGGACAATGGGGAAGAACGAGACTCAATCCAAAAATCAGGAGAGAGATGTTGAATGGCTCACATTCAGTGTCTTGGGGCCGAAGATTGTCATCATGCTTTCGTTTTTTCAAGCATGGCGAGTAAGTCAAGCCCTTTCAAATAAGTCATCCAATGATGTCAAAATCTATCAATGCAGAATGATCAAGATTACACCACAGGTGCACAAATATTGGCACAAGTTAGAAAAAGAAGCCATTTTTAGATTTCTACGGTCAGCTTGTATGACAAACAAACGCATATGCGTCAAACTTAAAATCCTGTGGTATGGCAACGTTCATTATGCACCAGTAAAAGATGGTATGACCCGTCCTACGTCCCATTGAATAGTGATTTCAAGTGCGACTCTCCAAGGACCCCCAGGCTGGCCTAAGGCCTACGGGTGAGAGAGACCACCTAAACAATTCATAATTTTTCCTGGGAGTCCTTCTGAGCTCAGGTGAGGGGAAAAAAAACTTCAATTACACTCACGCATACACTCATACCCAAAAAAAAAAAAAAAAAAAAAATTTGGGTGTGAGCGGCGCTACAGCGATCATCGCCGGCGTGGTTTAGGATGGAATTGATGGGTTTCCGCACATCAAAGCTGAGCCACTGCAATACAACTGCAGAGGTCACCTTTAGCCCACACGCTTACTGAACTCTCGCTGCACGTCCCGCCGGCCAAACGGCACGCAGCCTAAAAGGGAAGCCCCAGAAAAACGCCGCAACCCTCTTAAGCCAGGTACTCTATTGTCGATGGTTAAACGTGCAGCATCTCAACACAAAGTCATGAAGATTATATTTACAACCTCATTTTTTTTTTTCATCTCGTCACCCCCACAGTTTAGCGTGGGGGACTTCAAGAGCAGTGTTAACAACTTTGGCCCCTCCCCTCGTCTCTGATAGGTAGGGAGAAGTCACTTGATTAGTGACCCCGCCCTCCAAAAATTGTGATGGATTCTCTGCTCTCTCTTTCCCATCTCTACCTCACTGCATTTCATTAATAATACCACTGAATAAACATTTCTATACATATATCTCTATCTTTAAAAAAACAACAAAAAAAAACGGTAAAAATTTTGAAGTGACTGCTGATGGCTGAGGGTCCCATGTAGCTCGAATCCTTTAGGAATACACACTTTTGAGGGACCTTCATTACACCCTATTCCCAATAAGCAGCTATGTAAAAAAAGCTATGTTTTGTCAGACCTCCTCGCCATCCTCAGTCACTCCACCTGGCCTGGCATCTGGTCTCTGTTTTCTAGTTATCTCTCTTCCAAAAAAAAAAAAAAATCACTTTTTTTTTTCCCACTAAACTTGCTTCCTCGCCCTCTCACAGGCATTTTTTTTTTGTCTTTTTTAATACCCTCTCATTTTGCTGCTTATTTCTCCCTGTCTACCGCTAGGTCTGTGTGTCACTCTCTCTCTCAGTCAGTCCGCTCATTTGTCCTCCCATTTGTCTGTCCGTCTGACTGGGCCCCGGCCTCGGCCTCTCACTTCCTCCTGGGTTCTTGTGCCAGTCCCTGAGGGGTCCCCGGCTCAGACACGGCCTGCGGATGGGGCCCCTGCGAACCTCCTGTACCTCCTTTCTGCTGCTGCTTGACTTGTGTCAAAATTTCCCTGATCTTCCTCTGTGCCAGCTAGAGAGGAGACAAAAAAAATGTGTCTAAAATAAGCATTTTAGCATTGTTTGCTCTGCCAGTTTATTGTAATGTTTTAGCCAAATGAAATGTCAACCAAACTCTTTAGGTGTCCACTCCTAACTAAGCGAAGGACATTTGTGCAGGGAATACAGAAAGATAAGCGACAGACCTGACTTGCGTAAAAGTGGCCGATGATTTTGACGATGACCTGGTCGTGTTCATCAGGGGTCTGCTCTCGGGGAACCACTACTTCAGCAGCAGTGAGGTTCTGCAGTTCATTCACCTATGATGGGTTGTTCAAGCACACATCAATTAAATCAACACATCAACATAGACTTGATTAGCACATTCCATTAATTTGTTTTATTAATGAAGTTATCATATATATATGTATATATATACACACACACACACACAGTATGTATATATATATATATATATATA